CTCCAGCAGAGGATTTCTGTTGGGAGCATCAAGAAGCGGATGCCAAATTCGACCACAGGTACTTAACCTTTCGAGCATCTTTTCTGTGGGAAGCCACTTGGGATATTAGCTGCACATTGATGCTGACTTGTAATAGAAAGGCTATGAGGCATAAGAAAGCTTAACATGAGTCAGCAGTGTGATGCAGCAGCAACAGAAGCTAATACTGTTCTATGCTGCTGCAGCAGAAGTAGATCAAGGGAAGTGATAGTACTGCTCTATTCTGCCTTGGTCAGACCCCACCTGGAGTCCTGTGTCCAGTTCTGGGCACCACAGTTTAAGAAGGATATTGACCAGCTGGAAGGTGTGCGGAGGAAGGGGACCAAGAGGACCAGGGGTTTGGAAACCAGGCCTTGTGAGGGAGTTGGGGATGTTTAGCCTGGAGAAGGCAAGGCTGAGGGGTGATATGAGAGCCATCTTCAAATATGTGGAGGACTGTCCCATGGAAGATGGAGCCAGGTGGTTGTTTTTGCTGTTCCAGAGGAGAGGACCAGAACTAATGGATTCCAATAACAAGATTCTGACTAAACATTAGGAAGAACTTTCTAGTTGTTAGACAGTGAGACTGACTCACTAGGAAGCTGATACTCTCTTTCAGTGGAGGTTTCTGAGCAGAGGTCAGATGGCCACCTGTCAGGGATTCTTTAGCTGTGATTCCTGCCTTGCAGGGGCTTAGACTAGATGACCCTTTAGGTCAGGCTTCGTCAACCTGGGCCCTCCAGATGTTTTGGCCTACAACTCCCATGATCCCTAGCTAGCAGGACCAGTGGTCAGGGATGATGGGAATTGTAGTCTCAAAACATCTGGAGGGCTGAGGTTGAGGAAGCCTACTTTAGGTCTCTTTCCAGCTCCAAAATTCTATAAACAGTGGGAACATCTGTTTCTGTGACTCCCTTGAGATCACATTTTGTCTCCTTTCTCAACACCATGTGACAGGGATAGCCAACAGGTGCCCTCCGGGTGTTGTTGGACGCCACCTTCCATCACTCTCGGCCCGCGTGGCCAAAGGTCAGGAATGATGGGAATTGTAGGGAGCAGCAGCTTGAGGGTGCCGTGTTGGCTCCCTCTGCCATTGGAGTTGGCCACAGGAGGAGGAATGTGGCCGCCATCCCACCACCTTGATGGGCTTGTTCCTTTCCAGCTTTTGTCCGGAAAGATGCTTTGCCGCTGGGCACCTTTTCCAAATATACGTGGCACATCACAAACATCTTGCAAGTCAAACAGATCTTTGATACCCTTGAGGTAAGACCCCCCCCCTTGCTCCTCTTGTCTACGGTTTTTTCTCTGTTATGTGAAAAGATGGGAGGGCATTCATTGGGGGGTTGGGGAGCAAGGGCCAGCGCTAGGCATAACATTTTATGTTGCATCCTGGGATTAAAAGTTTGGGGAACTGGCCTCTGGGGGTTAGAATGAGCTTCCTGGAATAATTCTCTTATGATCTACTGTTGTGATGATTTTGGGAGAGGGTTAGAGAAATTCATGGAGGGGAGGACTCCTGGGGGCTGCTAGCCCTGATGGCTCAACTCTGCCTCCACAGTCGGAGGCAGCAATGCTTCCCAATACCAATTGCTGGAAACTACAGGAGGGGAGTTTTTGTGCTCAAATCCTGCTTGCAAGGTTCCGCGGGCATCTGGTTGGCCACTGTGAGAACAGAGTGTTGGACTAGATGGGCCACTGGCCTGATCCAGCGAGGCTTTTTTTAGATTCTTACTCAACTCCCAGAACTTTGGCATCCTGGTTTCTGCAGGGTGAGGATCAAACTCTGGGCTTACAAAGGGCCTCTTGCAAGGGGATGCCGCTCTCATTTTCCTGTTCATAAATCCTGTGTTTTCATCTCCCATTCCCAACTCCTCTTCCCAGATGCCTCTGAAAATAACACGCAGCTTCATCCAGAACCAGGATGGCACCTATGAGCCCTTTAAGTGCCCCAAAGTTGAGGTGGAGAGCATCCCAGACACTTACGGGCGCTTGGAGAAGCAGCCAGTCCTCCGGCCTCTGGAGTTGAAAACCTTCCTGAAAGTCGGTAAGGTGTATAAGCTGATCCCTTTGCTCCTCAAAGGAGCCTTCTTTTCCCACCAGCTCACAGATTTGTAGAGTTGGAAGCAAATCCAACCCTCCTCTTGGATAAACTTGTTTTTTTCCACACACAATGGGGAAAGAAGGTCCAAAGTGCTCCTCTTTCTGGCTTCCTTCCTCCCAGGCAACACATCCCCTGATCAGAAGGAACCGACGCCTTTCATCATTGAGTGGATTCCAGATATCCTCCCCCAGTCGAAAATTGGTGAACTGAGGATTAAGTTTGAATATGGCCACTACAGAAATGGTCACACCACCGACTACCAGGAGCAGCGCACTTCCCTTGAACAGACGCTGGAGCTTATGCCTCTCGCCACCATCACCTTCCCTTGAACTCATCATGCAGTTCTTGCACAGCTTGGTTTGCACAACCCCTGCCCTATAGCTGGTCAGCCTTTGCGGGTATCAGTTAGCCATTTGACTGGGGAACGCGCCAGGAGCCGGAATGCAGCGGGGCTTTACTACAAATAACCCACTTCTTTTTAAGCAGCTGCACTAGAAACTTCTGCCTCTTTCCTTTCAAACAGCATTTCCAGTCGCTTCTTGGGACAAAATTAATTCATGCACTCTCCACTTCTACTCTGAGACTCACCTATGATTGCTGGTTTTTTCCGCCACCCTATTTTGCACAGTTGACAGATTACAGGTGAGGGTGGAGCAGAATGTCCAGGTGCTGGGCTGCCTTGGCTAATTACTATCCCCTTACTGGCATATTTTGCAATATATTTCTACAATAAACTAAATTGAACCAATGTTTTGAGTTCAGTCTCTCAGATAAACACCATCAAGCTTGAGCCTTCTCCCATCCACACAGTTCCTGCTTTGAGTCACCCCTCGAGTGTACTTTCAAAAAACACAAAAGCAAAACTCAGGCTGGAATTTCTGGCTTGTTGGGGTCTGTATCCAGTAATTACCTGTGCGATTACTGCAAACTCCTGCAAGTGAACTGACTTTGCACAGGTTGAATGCGGCAGCTGGTCTGTGCATCAGGAACCAAATTCAGACTTCTTTGTGGACAAAGGATGTGTGGAGTTTGCAGATGATAGCACTGCATTCTTCAGCACTTGAACAGAGACACCAAGCAGCATCGAGGCAAAGTAGAGCACTAAGTCTTACTCATGGCATGGACATGATTTAAGCACACACTGCACCGTGAGTAACCAGTGGCATTTCAAAAGATATCAGGCAGAATTGCAGCTTCCCAGAGACATCAACACCAGCCCCGGGGAAAGTCCCCTGCTTTCCATTTCTCTAGTACAAATGATCTTAGACCATTCAATGTTGTGAAGCAAATTGATAGGAAAATAGATGACACGATGGCATTAAATGTTAGGGAGAGGAGAGGGAAGAACTTGACCAGTGTTAGAAACTGAGATATGAAAGCTAGCAGCTAATTGGCACCTTAAACCTAGGTTATGAGTGTAACAATGGAATGTCGAGCTGCTCTTTTTTTATATACAAAGCTGAAAAGGAATGAACTGCAGCTAAAACATTACGTTCATTTTTCACATGGTCTGGTCCTTCACCTGCCCACCCCTAATATTCTTAAGAGGGTCTCTTCTCCTGTCTTCAGAGAGTAGCTGGAAGTAGGGAGGCAGAAAACAGGTCCTCCTTCCACTCTGCAGTTTAAATCCGAAATGTTAGGCACAGTTCTGCGCCCAGAGCTCAAATTGCTCATGCTAATTAAATTCCCTGTTGCAAAATGTGCCTAGAACAATGTGAGTTTCGAACACTGAACTTGGCCCAGGGGCTACTATTTCTGGCAGCAGCAGACCTTGGTTTGTAACAGGCCATCCATCCCCTGCTGTTTGGACTGGGGTCCACTGTAAGCAAACTCGAAGTACTGCTTAGCAACAGTAGGAGGCAGTGTTGCCCTAAGCAGGAACCACAAAGGCTGCAGTTGGAGGTACACTCAACATCCCAGGCTGCCTTTCATAAAAGGAAGGGGAGAAGCAAAGGCTGCAATTCTTCATTACTTCCTCACAAAGGATTGCTTGTCCCAGCGCAGTACAGAAAAGAGCATGGTTTCAAACTTGCTGTTGAACAGGCACCTCTAACCCTGCCATTTACACTATTTAAATGAACATATGACCACAGCCCCTTTTCCCAGCTCAGGATTGGTCCTTGGCTGCATAAATGGTCAAAGCCCTGCTGGATGTGTGGAATACCGAGGTAACAGTTCTGCTCCTATGCCTTGACGTTTATGCTTGTGGCTGCAGCTTCCGCTATATGGAAGGCAGTCCTTCCGAATAATGCCTTTTAGACTGAGGCGTTGGCTACAAGTTCTGTAAAGGGCCCGAGACTCAGTCCACAGCAATCATACCTGCTTTAGCTTCAAGTTAAATCTCAAAACTCTACAAATAAAGGTAAAGGGACCCCTGACCATTGGGTCCAGTTGTGACCGACTCTGGGGTTGTGGCGCTCATCTCGCTTTATTGGCCGAGGGAGCCAGGGGTCATGTGGCCAGCAGGACTAAGCTGCTTCTGGTGAACCAGAGCAGCGCATGGAAACGCTGTTTACCTTCCCGCTGGAGCGGTACCTATTTATCTACTTGCACTTTGACATGAAAAGTCAAATAATTCAGTACATTATGTTATGTACTGAAGTTCTCACCCTGGGCCAGCAGGGGGATACTGTAGTTATGCAAATAAGGGATCGAAAGTGATGTTCAGTGATCGGATAGTTTTAGAAAATTGTTACAGTTACGTGGTACTGGAGCTCTATATAAGCAGGCTGACTAAACCCTTCAGTTCAGTTCTGTTCTGGCCTCTGAATAAACAAGAGCTGTTTGAAGAATCGCTGTGTCGTCTGATATGTTCACCCACAACTTAACAAATTACAAATCAGAAATAAAGTGAAGTTGCAAATAAGTCATGAGACTCGTGTAATCGTACTATGGGAAAATATTTTTATTTTTTTCATTCAGTGAACTTTCAGAGTGGGGAAAATGGAACACACTTAACATTCTCCCTCACCCCAAGCATACAGAACTTTTCAAACTGCAGGTGCGATGCAGAAAGCTGAGCGTGCATATAAAGTCAAGCATTTAAACTCCCAACATGTGGGGCAGGGCAGAGGTGGGCCTAGCTGTTTACTTGGGGTGGGGCTAGACTCCCAGGGGGGTGGCACGGTGATGTCACCCCCCTCAGAGATGACACCTAGGGCAGGCCGCACCTGTTGCACCCCCTTCCCCCCTTCCTCTGCCAGTGGGGCAGGGTCAAGCCCAGCAGAAGCAGAAGCACCAGATCTCACTGCAGACAAACCACTCGTCCTGATTTCACTTATGCCCCATGAGACACAGGGAGGACAAGGAGCAGTCAGCCTTGGGAGAGCAGAATCAACTCGCTTTGGTTAGATGCAAAATGCAGAAGCCATCTCCATTATTTCCATGCCTTGAAGCCTGGGAGGGGTGAGCGCTGTTGCTTGCAGAATCACTCATCCTTGGTAAAAGGGTAGTGCTTGTGCGTCCCCATCCTGCAAGGAAAAGCAACACTCCTTAAACCACTGACAGCCCTGCAGCATCCTCTGCCTAAAAGCTTTGCTGTGAACGCTGGTCATTCTTCCAGGCAGAGGACCTTCTCGGTAGTGGCAGTGACCCTGTGGAACGCCCTCCCATCAGATGTCAAGGAAATAAACAACTATCTGACTTTTAGAAGACATCTGAAGGCAGCCCTGTTTAGAGATGTTTTTAATGTTTGATGTTTTAATGTATTTTTAATCCTTTGTTGGAAGCCGCCCAGAGTGGCTGGGGATACCCAGCCGGATGGACGGGGTATAAATAATAAATTATTATGATTCCAAAGCAAAAACAAAAAAAACGCTGGTCGTTCCGACCACATACAGCTGTTTCCAAATATAAACAATGCTTATAAAGCCTTGTGTCTGCGTGAAGATGCTAAAGTTAAGTGTGGCAGCATCTACCCTCTGGAACTCCCTGCCCATTGCTATCAGGCAGGCACCTTGGCTGTGCTCTTTTTCACGCCTGATAGAAACATTTTTGTTTAAAACGCACAGCAACATTCTACATGTCTGGTTAGCCTTGTCTAATCTGTTTTTGGTTTATTGCTGGTTTTATCTTATGAATGTTTTAAGGAGTTGTTGTTGTTACTGATAATTTTTTGGTTTTCCCTCTTTTGTAAACCACTTCGAGGTTTTTGGTGTGTTTTTTTAACAATCAAGCGAGGTACAAAATGTATGCAAAGCACCCAACAAAGTTAGTGCTGCCTCCTGTGGTTTTGAGTTGCAGAACGCTCACCCAAAAAGTTGGCCACACATATGTGAGTTCAGAGGTCAAGCCTCTGCTTAGTCTTTACCAGCTGCGTTGCCCTTGGCATTACATGAGGCCACTGAAGACTTGAGTTGCTAGCTCTGGCAAATCTGTTGAATGCAGTGGGTGGGTTTATCGCTAAGGAGCTGTGGCCCATCTTCATTGGCCAATCTGACTGTCAGCAACCTCATGACAATTGTCCTACAGAGGGAAACTGAGCCGGAGAGAGCTCAGGAAAGCATCATTTCCCCTATTTACAGGTCAAACAGAGGCCAATGTGGGTGTTTCATCCGTCCTAGACAGCACCTTTGCTCTCCACGTTGTGCTTGGAAGCCAGTGTGGTGTAGTGGTTAGAGCGTTGGACTAGGACCTGTGAGACGATGATTCAAATCCCCACTCGGCCATAAGTGACCACGTGCCAGTCACTGCCTCTCAGCTTAACGTACCTCACGGGGTTGTTGTGGGGATCAATTGGGGATTAAAGATACTTTGAGCATCTTTAAGAAAAAGGTGAGATATAAGGCAATACAGTGGTGCCTCACAAGACGAAATTAATCCGTTGAGTCTCTTTGTCTTGCGGTTTTTTCGTCTTGCAAAGCACGGCTATTAACGGCTTAGCGGCTTAGCGGCTATTAACGGCTTAGCGGCTTAGCAGCTATTAACGGCTTAGCGGCTTTAAGAAAAAGGAAACAAACTCGCAAGAACTCGCAAGACGTTTCGTCTTGCGAAGCAAGCCCATAGGGAAATTCGTCTTGCGGAACGACTCAAAAAACGGAAAACCCTTTCGTCTAGCGAGTTTTTCGTCTTGCGAGGCATCCGTCTTGCAGGGCACCACTGTAAAATAATTACGTGTTGCACACCCTAAAGTGTCCAATGTTTTCAGCGCACAGACTCACCCTAAGATGTCCCAGGCCACAGCCCGTGCCCCACAGTGCAGCGATTCCAGCTTTTTCATTTCTTCATCCGTCAGTCGGAAATCAAAAACCTATAAAAGAAGAGAAGCAATGACTTTTGCTTGGAGTTACTTGGCTTGGCACTGTGCAAGTAGGTGCAGTCTTTGAAAAGGAGAAAATCCCAAAGGATCTGAGGCCTGATACCCAAGACAGAAACTTTAAACCCCCTTACTTTCAAGTTGGTAGCAAAGATATTAATGGATTTTTTAAAAACATCTTTCTCATGCACCCCAACTACCTTTTGACACCAGTGTCAGAGGGAGGCAAATTATGTGGGGTTATAAGAGACTTTCACAACCCATGATCCAAAACTCATTGAAAACTCAGTATTTGGCCTTCCATTTGGCTGAGGTTACAAAGGTGAACCCCTCCCTCCCTTTTGTAATAAAAAATAATTGGCCATTTTAAGTTGATATTGTTTAACTGTGATACTGGTCTTTTTGGGTGATAACCATCTAAGTAATTTCCACTAAAATTAATGGACCTAACTTAGCCATGTCCATTAATTTCCAGTTTATCTGCTCGGAATACAAGAGAGTTGAATTATGGATCATGGCATTTCAAGATCTAGCTTAATGCTGCATTTTTATATTTATTTTCATGCGAATTTAAAATCTCAGTGCTTAATAGTTCAAAGGAACAAATATTTAAATAATCAAGTACACTTTTTCAAAAGAAGAGCTTTGATATCTATGGGCTTAAAGGTAAAGGTAAAGGTACCCCTGCCCATACGGGCCAGTCTTGCCAGACTCTAGGGTTGTGCGCTCATCTCACTCTAGAGGCCGGGAGCCAGCGCTGTCCGGAGACACTTCCGGGTCACGTGGCCAGCGTGACAAAGCTGTTCTGGTGAACCGGCACCAGCGCAGCACACGGAACGCCGTTTACCTTCCCGCTGGTAAGTGGTCCCTATTTATCTACTTGCACCCGGGGGTGCTTTCGAACTGCTAGGTTGGCAGGCGCTGGGACCGAACGACGGGAGCGCACCCCGCCGCAGGGATTCGAACCGCCGACCATTCGATCGGCAAGTCCTAGGTGCTGAGGTTTTACCCACAGAGCCACCCGCATCCCATCTATGGGCTTACTCGCCCCTTAACAGCAACACTATTCATACTTCAAGTAGCATCCTAAACTTCGGCCCTTTAAGCCTCCAGTCTGCAGCATCTTGCAGCATATAAAGGTGTTAGCAGAAAGAGCTTGACGTCTACTTTACCTTTGAATTATCGATGATGTGAGCAGGTGTCTGGCTTTTTGGGATAGTAGCAATGCCACTCTGAATGTTGAAGCGGATAAGAATCTGTGGAGACATTGGCGATAAGTAGAGACCGGTCATCATTTGGACTCTCCATGTACTTGCTGTGTCCGGGAACTGGCAACATCCATCATCACAAACTTGGACACCTGCCTCTTCCAAGAGCCAGGACCACCAACCCAGATTGCCTTGAACCAGCTGCCCTCACCCAGGGGACGGTCAGTGCCCCCTCCACTGTCAACACTGCAGCCACCACAAAGGCCTTGCAAATATTTTTACTGTGCCTTCGCTGTAAGCACTTCATGTGTGTGTTTTTAAATAGAAAAGGAAGGTGGTTAGAAATAAATATTATCGGTAATAATAATATACTGTAGCCTGCCAGCATACGTCCGTGGATATTGTTAGTGATGCATGAATAGAAGCAGTCACTGTCTCTGCAGGTACAATCCCTGGCCTCTCTGGGTACGGCTGAGAGATACCTCTGCCTGGATACTGCTGGCCAGTGTTGCCACTACAGTGCTACCTCTGGTTAAGAACTTAATTCGTTCTGGAGGTCTGTTCTTAACCTGAAGCACCACTTTAGCTAATGGGGCCTCCCGCTGCCATCGCACGATTTCTGTTCTCATTCTGACGCAAAGTTCTTAACCTGAGGTACTATTTCTGGGTTAGCGGAGTCTGTAACCTGAAGCGCCTGTAACCTGAGGTACCACTGTACCGAGCTAGATGGAGCAGTGGTCTGACTCTGTGAAAGGCAGCTTTGCTTATCTTCCTTTGTCAGTTGTAGAAAAAGCTTCCCCCACCACCTGGCCACCTGGAAGAGATTCTTACTCATGTCCCCGAGAAACTGCAAGTAGCAGTTTTGCAGTGCCAGTCAATTCAGCTTCCATGTAAGAATCTACCATCCCCTTCCTATCTTAGTGCTACAGCTTCTGTGCCCGGGTGCATCCTTGTGAAGATTCGGAGCTGTTTTATATACAGGATCAGATGAGATGATGTAGCCCAATACCATCTGCTTTGCCCACAGAGTTCTCCAAGGTCTTTCCCAGTTTTGCCATCAGATCTTTTAACTGAAGTGTCAGGGACTGAACATGGGAGCTTCTTCATGTGTGAAATCTACACACATACAAAAAATGGTCTGAAAATGCTTTTTTTTTTAAAAGTGCTTTTAAAAATACATTGAATTTCCCCTAAGGCTCGTCATCGCCATCCAGTGTCACACTGTATATTTCACTTAAAGCACACTTAAAATGTTTTATTTGCAGCTATATCTCTGAGTCTATAGTCCCTCCCCAATCCTTAGACCAACAACAAAGGTCGTTCTTTGCCCCTGCACTGACTTCAGAGAGCAAAGGCACAAAGAGAGGTGGTTTAGGAAAGGGCCTTCTAGAGATCCACCAAAGTCAGAGCCTGACCAAGGTCCTGAAGCTCTTTCTTAGGAGACCATTCAGAAAGAGACATTCTAAAACATTATGGTGTTTTGTTCTGTTTTTTAAAATGTTTTACTGGATTTTTTAATTGTTGTTTCTAACTCACGTGAAGCCCTAGAAGTAGCTCAAGAAAAACTGCACATGCAATAAGAACCATGATAAAAAACCAGCTATTTTGTTCAATAAACCTTGTGGACTCATGTATTCACGACACCTTTGCTTCCATTATCTCTACCATACGACTCTTTTAAATGTAATCAGTCACATGCTGAACGAAGGAGACTGGTTGTTAACTCAGCCGACAATAGCTTTCAGCGATTTGAACCATCTCAGATAAGCAGGGCTTTGACTTTGGGAAACCAAGAGGTGATCTCCTTTCCTTGGAAGTTACAGCTTATCAAGGCAAGGACTGGTTGAAATTGCCTAGTCAGGGCAGTGGTATTCCACAAAGGGCAACAGCATCCTGATTATGCAATGTCAGCTTGCCTGCCATGCAACTTTGGCCTTCGTCAACAAAGAGACTTGGGCTGAACAACGGCAGGAAAACTTTAGAGACACAGACATTTTGAGGGAAAGGGCTCTGCGGCACCCCAGCGAGCTGCCCTCCAATGCCCTCCTCCAGCCATCCCTCTGTGATACTAGGCTGGCTGGCTAGTTAGAGAAACAATCTTTGCAGCGCTTGAGTGGCTGTGTTGCATGATTGGGAATTATTTGACAAGCAAAATTAATACAACACTTTCGAAACTGGTACCATTGCCTTGATGTCTGTATTCCCCACCCACCTCTGATCTTGGGTCGTAACTCCTGACACAAGCAGTCAACTTGCAAAAAAATGAGAAGTTTTCTGTTTGAACAGGTACCATTTGCACACACCTCCACACACACCTGCACACCGGGAACACTTTACCTGAGCTGGGGATTTCCCATGCTTCTTGGCAATCTCCTTCACCACAGGGTCCTCCATGCCATTCTTAGGATCCAGAGGACCTGGAGGGCTAGAGGGGAAAGAGCCTTTCAAACTAAGGCTGTTTTTCTTCTGCATTTTAAATCAATTAGTTTTTTTAATGTCTATGCCTCCCTTCCAAAGGAGCCCGGGGCTATTAGCATGTGGATTAAGCAACCAAAGCTTTAGCTAATTAATCTGGAGGGGGGAGGGTTGAGAGAGGGGAAATATCTTAATTGATAGGTCTGGTTTTCAATCTACTCTGCTTGTGTTGAATGTTTGTAGCAATAAATTAAAGAGAAAATGAGGTTATTAGAGGTTTAACAGATGGTTGTTTTTGTTTATCAAATTACAAATCATCTTCCCTTTCCTCTGTGTCTCAAGAAGAGTGATATGAACACACATTTGAATCTTATCAACTGATTAATCACCTGCTTTTTAACTCAGTAAATCAAGTCACAACACCTTTGATGAGTTGACTGCTCCAGTGATTCTGGTTTTGTACCTTTTACATGCAAGAGCTGACCAGGTTGGGGGACACTTCCTTCACTCCCAACAGCTCGGTGCAAGCGAGGATGTCTTAAAGACGTCTCCACTCCACCTGGTCCTTTATTCTAGGAATGAAGCCCCACTGGAGAACCGTGTCCTGACGTAACTCAGGGTGCCTCCAGACTCTCGCTATTTTTCAGGAGGGATTCAAGCACACCCCCAAACTCTAGGGGTGTGTCTGCACCATTAAAGTGAGTCGAAAGGTTCTGTTGTCCTAGCACAACCAATCAGGGACGCGGACTTATAAAAAATATTGGGGGGGGCCCGGGAAAGCTCATGAATAATAAATAAGCTCATGAATATGCAAATAAAGTGGCGCCGCCTCCTCGTGAGCGAATAGGGGAGAGCGTGCTGCGCCTATTAATCAGCTCCAAAGGAAATTGGGTGGAGCTTTTGCTCGGGAGGGAGGGCAGGAAGCATGCAGCCCGCCCCTCCCTGTGCATTTTGGGCTGGGGGAGGGGCGGCGATGGCGCTCTGCTGGAGGGGTGCCGGAGATTATTGGGGGGGCAGAGCCCCCCCAAACGAATTTTTGAGGGGGCTCGGGCCCCCTCAAGCCCCATGGAGTCGGCGCCTATGCAACCAATCCACTTTAAAGGGGGGGGGTTGTTTGCTGAGGGAGGTTTGGAACGTGATGAGGATGGGAAAGTGTGGAGTGGCCAAATGACACGCAGAAAGAGGGACTGGGATGGAGGCAGGACACTTATTGTCATATAAATATCCAACCCAAAGAAAACAGAATGAATGCTAAATAGAGACTGGAAAGAATCTATTTTCTGCCCTAGGCTGTGCAGGGGAATCAGGATGCAGGCCAAGTCCACAAGCCACCTGCAGAGGCCCTTCTTCGCAGGCTAGCCATCCCACCCCCAACCCGGTATTGCCTGCCAGAGGAACTACTGAAGATGCGAAAAGGGGGCCCTTAAGGTACAAAAGACAGTGTCTTACAAGGGACGCTTGGGGGATGTCAAGGGGCTGTATCCTGTGAGGGCCATCTTTTTGGACTTGGTGAAAGCAATCAGCGCGCGCTGGATCTGGTATACGTGCCGCTCCACCTGTGGAGGAAAGAGAGAGCCTAGAGCATGGGTAGGCAAACTAAGACCCGGGGGCTGGATCTGGCCCAATCGCCTTCTAAATCCAGCCCGCGGATAGTCTAGGAATCAGTCTAGGAAGCCTCCTGAAAATGGGGCAGGGGGTGGAGGAATGATGGGCTGGGAGGTGCAGAGTGAGCCCACTCATGGGACATAATAATTCACTGCATGAGCAAAATATGCAGAGCTGACTGAAGTGCCCACTCCTGGGGCCGAGCTATCCAGTGTGTAGCCCATTTTTGCCTTCCTCAACAGCAGTGTTTAAAGACGGAATGTATTTTACAGTGTTGAGCCCAGAGCCAATGAGAAGCTGCAAGGCGTGCCAGTCTGTCTGGCCAGCTGCCCTGACTAAGCCTCTAGGGTAGGGAAGTGGGAGGGGGAGAGAAATCTGATTCGGCCCAATTTGCACTTCCTGAAATGAACAAATCAAAATGCAACTGTTCTTCAAAATTTACACTCCTAATTTGGCAATGTAGCTCTGCAACCTAAAAATGTGTTCCAAATTCATATGTCTAGGGAAAGTGTGCATTATATTTGAGAAAAGAAGCTCAGCAGTAATGTGTGTTATTAGGCAGAATTGCTTACAAAAATGTGTGTCTTAGGAGACATGTGCGCTGCAGCGCTGCTGAGTTTTAACAAGGGGTTTTTAAAGAGGTTTCTGTTTCTCCATCTTCCAACCTGCTTCCAGCTCAGCTCTGTCTCACACACAATCTGGTCACTGTAACAGCAACACAGCTTTCTGTGTGCTGGAGCCGTAGGGTTTCTAAACACGCACCATGTGGAAATGTGGCAACCTCTGTTTAAGAGAGGAAAAATGGCAAACGGAGACAAACCAAAATGGACAGACTCATCGCTTCCACCTCAAGGCTTCGGCTTTTCATCTTGGAAGAATGCTCCTCTTGGAAGAATGCTTAATTACCCCAGGCTAAAAGAAAATATTTACGTACTTTCCTCTTGAAATAACAGGAAATTAGACAAAATATTGTATGGCTTTTGGAGCCCATTCTTCACCCCTGGGGTAAAGGTAAAGGGACCCCTGACAGTTAAGTCCAGTCGTGGACAACTCTGGAGTTGTAGTGTTCATCTTGCTTTAATGGCCAAGGGAGACGGCGTTTGTCCGCACACAGTTTTTCCGGGTCGTGGGCTTTCGAACTGCTAGGTTAGCAGGAGTTGGGACCAGACAATGGGAGCTCACCCGTCGTGGGGATTCGAACCACTGACCTTCCAATCGGCGAGCCCTAGGCTCAGTGGTTTAGACCACAGTGCCACCCGCGTCCCTTCACCCCAAAGCAAGTGACCCATCTTTCCTCCTCCTCCAGTTACACTACAGCTTTGTGAGCTACCCAGAGCCTCATGCTGACATTCTGATAGGTTGCTGGACCAGCAAGCACCTGGAGACATCTTCTTCTGCACTTATATGATGCAGCGCAACCTGTTCCCCCCACACTGGAGGCCAAACCTAGGGGGCGCCACAGGGCGCCACACCTGTGATGTAGTGAATTGAGCAGAATGAAAGGCAAAGGGGGGGGCACCGAATTTTGCCCTTGCACAGAGCGCCACAGAAATTTGAAAGACCAAAGTCCATCTCTGTATGATGTCGTGGGTTTGGGGAGTCAGCCAGGACGATACCTCGAGTCCCTTCCCGTTCCTGGGGTCCTATACCTAGTGAGGGTCAGAATCTAACAGAAGAGGTTGCTGGACCTATCAGGCAAGCTTTTTTGTAAGACAAAGACCTCAGCTGGCCACTTAAGTGTCCTCATCAGCATCCCAAAAGAATGGGCTAGGTTGCAAGAACTACAACAAGTGATGGTGGGCCTTTCCTCCACCTGCTCACTAGCTGCTAGGTAAGAGAACAGTAGCCAGAGTGTGAGAGACAGAACTGAGCTGGAAGCAGGCTGGAGGATGGAGAAACAGAGACCTGCTTGCTCTGTGCTGGATCCAAAGCTGTGACTAATGGAGAAGCAAGATCTGTTGGGGCGCTGATGCTGTGAGCCCCTCCATCTTATGCTCAGGTTGTATATATGTGCAAATTACACCCTACACCCTAAAAACACCACAAGGAAACCAAACCCAGGCTACGCACGTGGAACCCCTGGAGTCTCACTGCTTGGAGATTGGGGTGGCACATATCAATAAAGTCAGGGAGCAAATGTTGGGAGATCATAACATGAGCTTCTAAGGCCACCAGGTGCGTCCTCAAGCAAGTGGGAATTTGAACCCATGGCCAAGGCCGTCTAACATGGCCTCCCTCCTATTGGATGCAATTCTGACACTTCCAAATGGAAGAAGAAGAAGAAGAAGAAGAAGAAGAAGAAGAAGAAGAAGAAGAAGAAGAAGAAGAAGAAGAAGAAGAACAACAACAACAACAACAACAACAACAACAACAACAATACCTGGAGAACATCTGGCTTAATCCTTGCGATGGAGAGCAGCCGCTCCAACTGGCACTGGTTGAAGTTGGCCACCCCAATAGACTTCACCAGGCCTTCATCCACCAGCTTCTCCATAGCCTGCAAGAAAAGGGACAAGTCCAAAAGTTTAAGAGCAGCTGGTCCCTGGCTAAGGGTGATGGGAGTCGTAGTCCAAAACATCTGCAGGGCACCAGGTCGGCAAAGGTCACTCTAGAGGCAACAGGAACATGGGAGGGAAGAAGATCCGGTTGTGTTTTCTCTACACACGAAGGCTGGTAGACAACGGTGTGAAGTGGTAGACCTGTGTGTTTTGAGGTGGTGTGGGCTGTGAAGAAGGGCCCCAACCATTTCTCTAGGCTAGTCTGTCACTTATCTCCTGCTAGTCTGCAAAAATGGTGCTTAGGAGGCTTATGGGAGAGGTGCAGGACCTGACCAACGAACTGAATAAAGTCTTATTGCTCAGAAGTGACAACCCTCCAAAGACGGGGGGGGGGGGGGAGAGACTTTAGAAAGATGAGCTGCCCTCGCAGCATTGTTCTCTCCCACCACCAGGGATCCAAGGTGGACTTTCTAAAAAGCCGCCTGTGTTTGTTGCTTACTATGATTCTGTGTGCGAACTAGTCCCTAGGACAGGAACATGACAATGTAAGGCTAGCCATGACTACCTGGAAGTGAGACCCACTGAATTCAGTGGGGCTTACTCCCAAGTCAGGAGCCCCTTTCCTTGGCGGTGTCTCTGTCAGCAGGACTCTGACCCAGCAGGCAACTTGTGGCAAGAGGCACAGTGGTTGTCGCTTACCTTCCATGTGTCCACGTAATCGACATCAGTCTGCAGAACCTTCCCATCCTTCTGGGGCAAGGTATCACCCTTGACGTTCTACACGAAGGAGATTGAGAGCATGAGGGGGGCAGAGACTGTGCTAGCCATCAAGGCATGCCCTCCCCCCAGCAGGTGTACCTAAGCTCCCTTGCGCCCTTGGCAAGGAGACGTATCGGTGCCAGTGGCATAGTGTGGGTTGCCAGGGCCCGGGGCAAGGCAAGTATTGTGCCCCCTGACCATGAGCACTTCCCGAGTCCACCAGTCCAGGACTGAATAAAGTCAATGAAAGACTCTACCACACAGACTTCTTATCTTATCTTCAATGTGCGCAGATTGAACCCCTTGAGACCTTTGCCCCAGCAGCCCCCCCCCACTCACCTCTGCAGCACCCCTGAGACCAGCAGCACCAGCTGGCAAAGGGGGAGAGCAGTGTGGGGTGGGGTGGAGCTCCTTGGCACCACCTGCTGATGGGCGCAACGGCTTGGCAATCTACCCAAGTGGCAGTGACCTTTCTAGGGAAACAGCTGGAAGAATGAGCTGCTCAGGCTAGCCAGGCGGACTTCCATTTCACCTTAATGCCCATGGGAGAGTGCATCAGGTACAGATCCAGGTAATCCAGGCGCAGCAGCTTCAGGGTTTCCAGGAGAGCTGGCTTCACATCTTCAGGAGCGTGGTAGCTATTCCACAGCTGCCAAAGGAAGAGCATTCAAGTGAGTCTGAGGAGACATGCAGTTTAGAACATCAGAGGTGCATTGTGTCTGGATCAGGCCAGAGGCCCCTCTAGGACAGCAGCCCTCCTTGCTGTTCTTCTTCCTCAGAGCATCACAGGAAACAGTCCGTCTCCCCAAACAGAACTTGTGCATGTCTAAAAGTTTGCATGAATTCAAAATAATTGGAAATTGTATTTACATATTGCTGTAATTTTTTTTTAAAAGGCTTTTCCCCCCAAAGGCTTAAATACGATGGTGGGATCTTCTCTGGAAAAACACGAGACAAATGAGGAGCGATAAACAAGGTAAACTTCCTTGCCTTTGTATCTACCAAATGATGGGGAAATGATGGCGGGTTAGCGCCATCGGCTAATGGCAGAGTTCCTCTGAATGAGAGGAATCCGCTCCATGGGAATCGGGTCTTGCCGCCGCGGCGAAGGCGGAGACCCTTTAAAAATCACAGGCGGAGGAAGCCTGGGAATGTGGGATTCGGCAGGCACCAAGAGCGCCTCCCCTACTCGCGGGGAAACCCGTTTTCGGGGGTCCAGAGCGAAGTGGGGTGAGTGGCACGGTGCTTTGAATTGACTGCTACCTCCACGGAGTGAAGCTGCACAGCCATTGCCGGAGAGCGCTGACTTTTTCCTGTGGACAATTGGATCTAAATGTAACTACCTGTGAGTAAAGCGAAGAATTGGAGTTTTAAAAGTTGAATTTGGCAACGAACAGGGGGAGGCTTAAAACAGGAAGTCCGCCTTCCTCCTTTGTAAATAGTCGGAAGCAAACAGGCTTAAGCTAAAGCCTTGGAAAGTTTACTTTAAACACCTAAATTTCCAGCATTAAAAATAGCGAACCCCCCCTTGGAAGCAGGAGAAGGGGGGGGAGAGCTTTGGACCACATTTGCCTGCAAAAAGAGAGGGAAAGAAGCTAAATTTCCATCACTCAGAACCTGGGATTGGGCTGCTATTAAGATTGCTGCATTTTGGAGCGCTGCATAGACTGTGAATAGATCACTCATTGACAGCTAGTGAAACAAGAGTGATACATTGTTTCTGTCAGAGCTGCCTCAGGTCCCAGCTCACAGAGGACCAACGCCAGTCCGTTGTTATATAAAATAGTCTTTATTGAAGTTCAGTTTCTCTTTTACAGCCACGGCGCGCAGCTCTACGTCTTAAACCCTAGACCGCCGTAGCTCCATCTGAGTCTCCTCCCCCCAGACACCAGTTTAAGACCCTAGCCTTGCTCCACCTCTTCCTCTGCTCCCTCCTCCTCTGGGTCCGCTTGTCCGCCGAGGTCCTGCCCTTCCTAGACTCTTCTGACGCTGAGTCCCCTGAGTCTTCCCCCTCCCTCCGGCGAGCTTTAGGACCTGGTTCCCAATCCGGGTTTTCTGCTGTCCCGCGCGCCTGTACATTTGAACTTGGCGTGTGCGCCCAGCCCGCCACCTTCCTTCTGACCGTTATACTGCTCCTGTCGCTGCTTCCCTCTTCGGGGATGCTAGCTGGGTCTGACTCCTCCTCCCTGCTTGCCGGAGGAGACGCTGACTCTGACCTATGGGGCTCTTCCCCCCCACTACGCTCTGGTGGGGAAGCTGGTCCTGATTTCCAGCTACTGCTTTGGGAGTCTCCGCTGGCCCCCTGCTTCTGGTGTGTCCCCCCTGGGACCCCCCTTGCCCTGGCCATCGGCGCCCCCTTCTGGGAATCTTCTGATTCACTGGAGAGGCTTATGGAATCTCTTGGGTCACTGTCATTCTGCCCTCCGCTGCCCTCAGATTCTTCCCCTTCGCTCTCCATTTCCTCTCTCCCCTGCGCCTCTGCTCCTGAGCCCCTGACAGTTTCCATTATTTTTTCTGACTCAAAAGGGACTAAAGGAGTAAAAGAAACTGAGTAACAGTAACTGAGACTTGATACTAAATACATTGGTACAACTGTGTTTTTAAAAAAGTGACATTTTGGACTAATACAATATAATTAGTAACTATTTCCCTCTAGAAGAGGGCTTTGAAATTGCTACAAGGACTGGAATTTTCCAATTCTAAAGATAAGACTCTGGGACTGTGGAAGTGACCTTGAAGGGTTTAAGTGTTATGACAGATGGAAAAGAAAAAATAGACCCGCCAATTCAAGACAAAACAACAAGGTCTGGGAAGTCCTGGCAGCGAAGAGCTTCTACATCTGGCCCCCCTGCTTCATCTGCGGCTGTATTAACACACTCTAAACCAAAAGGAATGATATCAGAAGAGGTTTTGGCACTTGCACTGAGTAAGATAAATGAATCATTGGAACAAATGAATAAAAAATTAGATCAAAATACACAAAGCATAAATCAGAATACACAAAGTATAAACAGTTTGGGACAAAAAGTTAACTCAAATACAGAAGCTATTGAGAAATTGATTCAGGAGTCTAACTCAACTCAACAGATCGCAGAGGAAGTCAAGGAGAAGGTTGTTGCTGTGGAAGCGAAGGTAACTCAATTGGAAACAGAGAGAGTTCCAGACCTAGAAAACCAACTGGAGGACCATAAGTTGGCGCTTTCTATGATTGAACTCAAGGAAAAACAGATAAATTTGAGAATTAGAGCTGTACCTGAACTGGAAAAGGGCTCGTTGTCAGAGTTTCTTACGCAGGAATTTGCAGACTGTTGGGACTTGGATTTGGGAAAAGAGGAGTTGAAAATCATGAGGGCCTTTAGACTTGGAAGAGGAGGGAAGAAGGAGAAGAACAGAATAAGAGACTGTTTGATTACCCTCCGATCTAAAGAAGAGAGAGATAAAATTTTGGGCTGGCATTACGAGAAGACTTTGGTAATACATCAGTCAAGAGTGGAAATATTTAAAGATCTCCCAAAACATCTTTTGGACCTTAGGTCCAACTTTGGAGATTTGGTTGCCCTGTTGAGTGGTAAAAGGTATACAAGTGGGAGCCAAACAGTACAAATTGAAAGCATTTGCAGACGATCTGGTATTGACTTTACAGGAGCCAGAATCTGGCACCAAAAGAGTATTAGAATTGATTCAAGAATTTGGCCAGGTAGCAGGTTTTAAGTTGAATAAGATGAAAACTAAGGTCCTAGAGAAGAATCTAACTGAGATTGAGAGAGATAAGTTTCAGAAGTAGACAGGATTGACACTGGTTAAGAAAGTGAAATATTTAGGGGTTAACATGACTGCTAAGAATGTGAATTTATTTAAGGATAACTATGAAAAATGTTGGACTGAAGTGAAAAAGGATTTAGAAATATGGTCAAATTTGAAGTTATCGTTGCTAGGCCGAATCGCTGTGATAAAAATGAATGTATTGCCAAGAATGCTGTTTTTGTTCCAAACATTGCAAATTTTGGACAAAATGGACTGTTTCAAGAAGTGGCAGAGAGATATCTCTAGATTTGTCTGGCAGGGCAAGAAGCCTTGTATAAAATTTAAGATATTAACTGATGCTAAAGAAAGAGGTGGATTTGCCCTGCCAGACCTTAAACTTTATTATGAATCAGCCACTTTTTGTTGGCTGAAAGAATGGATGCTTCTTGAAAATACCGACGTGTTGGATTTGGAAGGTTTTAATAATGTATTTGGTTGGCATGCATATTTGTGGTATGATAAGGTTAAAGCACATAAAGTGTTTAAAAACCATATTGTCAGGAAAGCACTGCTTAATGTCTGGATAAGATACAAAGATTTGTTAGAAAATAAAACCCTGAGATGGCTGTCACCAATGGAAGCAAAGGCTCAGAAAAAACTCAATGTGGAGGCCAAATGGCCGAAGTATTGGGAAATTCTGGAGCAAGAGGGAGATAGACTAAAACTGCAGAGTTTTGAAAAATTAAAAAATAGAGTGCGAGATTGGCTCCATTACTATCAAATAATGGAGGCATATAACTTGGACAAAAAATTAGGCTTTCAGGTGGAAAAATCAAAATTGGAAACAGAATTGTTAGATTCTAAAGTTAAGAATTTGTCAAGAATGTATAACTTGCTGTTGAAATGGAATACTCAAGATGAAATGGTGAAATCTGCTATGATTAAATGGGCACAAGATGTTGAACATAATATTATGATGGCAGACTGGGAACAGTTATGGACCACTGGTATCAAGTTTACGGCATGTAATGCCTTAAAAGAGAATTTAATGAAAATGATTTATAGGTGGTACATAACACCAGTCAAGCTTGCAAAAATTTACCATTTGCCCGATAATAAATGTTGGAAATGTAATGAAACTGAAGGTACATTCTTTCACCTTTGGTGGACATGCCCAAAGATTAAGGCATTCTGGGAGATGATCTATAATGAAATGAAAAAGGTATTTAAATATACCTTTCTGAAGAAACCAGAGGCCTTTCTCCTGGGCATGGTCGGCCAATTGGTGCCAAAGAAGGATAGAACTTTTTTTATGTATGCTACAGCAGCAGCAAGAATACTTATCGCAAAGCACTGGAAGACACAAGATCTACCCACCTTGGAAGAATGGCAGATGAAGCTGATGGACTACATGGAACTGGCGGAAATGACTGGCAGAATCCGAGACCAGGGAGAAGAGTCGGTGGAAGAAGATTGGAAAAAATTTAAAGTATATTTACAAAAATATAGCAAAATTAATGAATGTTAGAAGGATGCTGGAATGAAGTTACATGGTTTTAGCAGAAATGTTATAAAGAATTAAGTAAAAATGGATTGTTAATGGGTTAAAGTGTAAAATTTAAGGTCAGATTGGGTTAAGGTAAATTATAGAACAAAAATTGAGAAAGATGGAAAGGATTTGCTGAAATAGCTAATTTGAATTAGAATACAAAAAAGGGAGGTGCGAAGAGGTTGATGAAACAAGTAAATGAAAGACAAAGATATGGAAATGTGTTAAAAACACTGGATGTGTTTTTAAATGTTTTTGTTCTTAAATGTTTTTGTTCTTTCTCTTTATTGTTGTGCTGTATTGTTTTTTATTTTGCTTTTTATTTTTTGATGTATTGTAACTTCTTATTGTCTTTTTTTTCTTTTTTTTTTGTAATTGTTAAACTTTTAATAAATATCTTTAAAAAAAATGATGGGAAACAGAACCATCTGAAGGCAGCCCTGTTTAGGGAAGCTTTTAATGTTTGACGGACTATTGTATTTTAATATTTTGTTGGTAGCCGCCCAGAGTGGCTGAGGAAACCCAGCCAGATGGGTAGGGTATAAATAAGAAAAGTATTATTATTATTATTATTATTATTATTATTATTATTATTATTATTATTATTATTTTATATAACCAAGATGCAAATTTGGAAATCCAGTCTCTGAAATTTGAACTTGAAGCTCTGAACTAGAAACTTCAGACTTTTGGATTTTGCTTTCAAAGCTTATTTCAGACCCAGCCTCCCCCAGGGACTTGCATTCATAGCTTCATAGTGTCTTGACAGCAGCAGCAGCAGCAGCAGCTCACCTTACTGACAACAAAAAGGTCCTCTCTCTTCACTAGCCCTTCCTTCAAGACTTTCTCGAAAGCTTCCCCGATGGCCCCCTCGTTGTCGTAGAAGTAGGCGCAGTCGATATGCCGGTAACCGTTTTTTATCGCCACTTCAATGGCCCCCTGGACAATACCTGGAGGAGACTGTCAGGAAGAGAAGACTTCGTTTGACCCTTGGAAATGCAGATATCATGCCCTCAAGACCCAGCTTTCACAAACACACATGGAAAGCAGTGCCTGGAAGTGAGAGAGGAAGTCAGGGTTTAAGTGCAATATATAATAAATAAAAGCAGGAAAAAAATTGATTGGAAATCATTTGGCATCTCAGACTCTCTTTCACTGGAGGTTTTCACACAGTGGCTGGATGGCCATCTGTCAGATTCCTTAGTTGTGGTTTCTGCATCGCAGGGGATTGGACTAGATGGCCCCTGGGTGTCCCACCCAATTTTAGGATTCCATGATGCTATGACTAATCTAGCACAGCACAGCACAGTTGCTGAAAAAGACAGAAAAAGCACTGAATGGTCCACCAAGTTTCAAGTGGTCTGAGACAAGGAGACTTCAAGAATTAAAAATCAACATGAATATTTAGCGTGATGGATGGGCTGTCTCCAATCACAAATCCACAGAGTCCCTATGACCACCTGAATGAAGCTCATGGGCAGCTGCCTGGTGCTGCCTGGACCACAGCTTGGGAAGCCCTGTGCCAGGTTACAAACACGTGCGCACTGGCCAGCAACCATTAATTCTGAAATAATCTGGTTGATCTTCCAGGAAATTATGAAACAAACTTAAGCCTTTCCCTGGGTGAGTTGTATAAAGGGAGACACAAAGCAGTCACTTGTTGGCCTAGAACCACACTTGCAGGGTTCTCCAATTCAACCCCTTGCAATGCACAGATCTCAGCTAAAGAATCCTGTTAATGACTTAAGTACACAGGTGTTCTGTGGGCATGATCCGACACCCTGAGCAGCGTAAATGCACATCTAAACTGGGGGGGGGGGGACACTGCAGGTAAACAGCCTTTTTGTGGCCAGATTTAGGGGAACCACCCATGGTCTGTGGGGGGGAAAGAACCAGAAGAAGCAAGACTCAGACCTGGATGAATTAACTGGACACCAAAACACCTGTCCGCCCATTGAGAGGGGTGTACACAAGGGCTGGGTACTATTTATTTTCCTTGTTAAGCAATAACTTGATAGCACAATCCATTATCCGTTTTCCATTTCATGCCAACAAGGGCTGGATGAGAATTTGAGCTCTGCCTATTTGAACAGAGAAGAAAGGCTTTATTTGCCTTGTGGCCGAGTCCCTCAGGCAACCCCAGCTCTTTGGCAAGGCGAGGCACAGGAAGGTGCTCTGAAGAAACACCCACAACCCCCGCCATAGCCAGGCTCCCTTCCTTTGCACCTTTTCTGGTCTTATCAGCCAGGCTCAGTTGTCCTGCCTCACAAGAAAGAAAGAGGCAAGAGTTCAAATGAAAGCCAATGTGGTGTGGTGGTTAGAGCATCAGACTAGGCCCTGGGTGGCCAGGGTTCGAATCCCCACTCCGCCACGAGGCTCCCTGGGTTTCCTTGGAGGCCAGTCACTGCCTCACAGTCTAACTTACTTCACAGGGCTGCTGTGAAGAAGGGGAGAACCAGGTAGATCACATTGAGCAACTTGGAGGAAACAGTGGTATATAAATGCAATAAATAAAATAAAAATAAAAATAATACAACCCCAAGCCATTATTAGGTCAATAGGCTTAATTAGGCCAACCATAACAACACAAAATAGTGTACGAAAGCTTTTGAGAACTCCAGAAAGAAGAGGTATGATAGCCATCTTCAAATATATAAAGGGCTGTTACATGGAAGAAACTTGTTTTCTCCTGGCTCTGGAAGGTGGGACTTGAACCAATGGTTTCAAGTGACAAGTGTACAATAGTGGTTACTTGATGTGACATTGTAATGGGGGGCCCCACCAAAAGTACAGTATGGAGAAAGCGCTGTAGGCGTCAGTCACAAAATGGCTGCCCTGGAGGTGTGGCGCAGCACAAAATGGCTGCCGCATGTAAAAGAGCAGAAAAGAGAGACAGGAGGACCACATCTTTGTGTGGCCATGCTCTCCCCAGCGCAGCCTTCTTCCTCAATCATTTGGAAGGAACCTACATCAGCTGCCACACTTGTGGGAAGGTGGACACCCAGTGCCAATCCTGTCAACCAGTGAAAGGAAGGCATAGCTAAGGGGGCATGTTGTCAGATTGGCTGAGGCCGTGCAAACAGGATCTGAGCAGGAAGAGTAAATGACCTCTTGTGCATTCTGAATTTTTGAGGAGATATATACTAAGACGCATGCAACATGCTGCTTGGCACACTGGTGTCCACGGGCACTGTGTTGATGATGCCTGTTGCATGACCTCTGCCCAAAGCAATTGTTGTTCAATAAGCAATGAACATAATTGAGACAAGATGGCCCTTTGGCTCCCTCCCAACTCTACAATTTGATGATTCTATATCCTCCTCAAAGACTTTGTGCAAACAAATGAGGACGAAAGCTCAAGAAACAGGTCATCTGGATGTGATCTAAGAGAGCTGGCTTCTGCCAAAGATTCTCTCGCAGAGGTAGAGGACATTCCTTCCATGCCTCCCTCTCAGAACTCCCTGCTCCCCGGGGGAGAGGAAGGGTTAGGCCGGTGTAAGTCGCTTGTGCAGATGTGCCCTCAGGTGGCTTTCTCTCAAGAAGTTTCACAGCTGGCTCCACGCTCCACTTAGCTTGCAGGGCGTGGATGGGATTAAGCTGGCAGAACAGTCGTCACATGCCTCTGCCTGTGGCTGTGATCTTGGCATGATAACACCCAACGGAGACGGCTGCCAGCTTTGCAGAACAAGGAAGCATTGAGCGAGAGGTTGGGCAGGCTGGCTCTGTGTTGGAGGCACAGATGCTGCCCGTTCGAGGCAGGCTCAGGGCTGGCAACGTGGCCAGGGGCCTTGCGTGACACGGCAGAGGCTGCCTCCTGTAAACAACCAGGCTGGGAGGCTGGCCATCATCTGCGTTTCAACTTTTGTCCGAACATTAGTCTGGATGGAAATTGAAATAACGGGGAACCTGCACCAAGAATTTGGGGTGCAGATTTAAGCCAAATGGTTTGAGCAAGAAAGGGGCTTCACCCCGGAGGTACAGCTGAGGAAGCAGCTTGCAAAAACTAGCCATGGTAGATACCTCCTCCTTCCCAGCCCTGACTAGGGTTCTCCACCCTAGAGAGAGACAGTCAACTCATGACTTGCGCAGGGGTTAGGTTCTGAGATGGTGCGTAAAGCTGAAATTGAGTGTAGCTAGAACAACCCCAGAACCACCCCTGCGTGACCAACCCTACTTTTGTGCAGCCAGTGCACCAAACAGGCCTTGTCCCACCCACCCCGGCACAAAGCGGCAAGGTTTTAAGCTCTTCGCCTTGCTTCCCGGGCTCTGGGAAGCTCCCAGAGCCCAGTAAGCAAGCCTGAGAGATGAAAAGCTCTCACTGAGGCAGGAAAGCCCACAGTGGAAAGAGATTTTAATCTCTCTGACCTGCCAAGTTTGTGAAGCCGCAATTGTGCAAGTCAAATGCAAGCAAGTTGCAAGTTGCAAGCAAGGACTGTACATCATTTACAAAGTGCTGTGCATTAGACTTGCCCCACCCCACAACCCTGCGAGGGAGACTGCAACTGAATGGGTTGATTAATTTGATTTAACAATCTTAATGTCATCCTTTTTAAATTTTGTGAGCTGCCCTGAAAATGCTTGATAAATTTATATTTATCAGATGAACAAAAGAAGATGATGATGATGTGAAATAAGCAATGAGAGAGAGAGAGAGAGGAGAGAGAATCTTGTCCTATTCTTACCAGAAGCCACACCATGTGTCATAAGTGTTTGTACCTCTGGGATACTTCAAGGAATCACATAGTGCATTTGCTTATCAGGCTTCCTCAACCTCGGCCCTCTAGATGTTTTGAGACCACAATTCCCATCATCCCTGACCACTGGTCCTGCTAGCTAGGGATCATGGGAGTTGTAGGCCAAGAACATCTGGAGGGCCAAGTTTGAGGAAGCCTGGCTAAGGATTGTGTCCCACTTAATGGGCACTCTGACAGATATGGCTCCCTTTCTGTTGAGATGGCGCAACCAACCGTTTCCTATTCTGCAGTGGGCGGGCAGTTGGAGTCCTCTCATGAGGAAGCCACTGGAAGCATAACAAGGTTTCCCAGTTTGCAGAATCCAGCCTTGTATGACTGCAGCTGGCTTCACCTGCTGCACACATATAAGAACATCAGAAGAGCCTGCTGGATTGGGCCCATCTAGTCCAGCATCCTGTTCTCACAGTGGCCAACCAGAAGCCGGCGGGAAACCAGCAAGCAGGAATGGAGCACAAGAGGCCTCTCCTCTCCTCTCCTGTGCTTTCCAGCAACTAGTCTTCAAAAGCATAGCTGCCTCTGACCATGAAGGCAGAGGCCGGCCATCCTGGCTAGCAGCCATTGATAGCCCTTTCCATCATGACTTTGTCCAATCCTCTTTCAAAGCCATCCAAGATGGTGGCCATCACGGCCTCCTGTGGGAGCCAGTGCCATAATTTAACTCTCTGCTGCGTGAAGAAGTTTCCCCCTCTCTGCATCTCAGCTAGATTAAATTGTTTATGCAGCAGGGGACGATGGAGGAGGGAACTGAAGCTTCCAAGCCTTCCATCTGGGCTTAATTTTGGGCTTGGCCTCAGGAAATACAACTCGAAACCTGTGTCAGTCAAGCGAATGGCATCTTAATTCTGAATTGTGGAACGGAGCCAGTGGAAGCCCTTTGTGTGGGAGGACAAATACACAATTTTCTGCAAAATGCATAACATTAAGGCAGGCCCCGTGGCTGCAAAGAAAAAAGTTTTGCTGCCCCTAATAAGTTCTTCAAAAGTCCAAATGGACCGTTTGGGAATTTCCAGTGTTTGTAAAATGAGTTCAAGAGCCCTGTAGATTAGAATTTTCACAGGGTTTAAAAAGAAAGGACTTATCTGCCTTTCTGTAAGAATTAGCACTTTGGAAAATTTGGACAACCTGATCCTATGCATATTGCTCAGAAGTCAGTCCCACCAATTTAAATGATACTCAACTCCAACATGTGTATTTAAATCATAGAATTGTAGCGTTAGAAGGGAACCCAATGGACATCTAGTCCAACCCATTGCAATGAAGGAATACACAGCTTTAAAATCCCTGACGGAGGGCCATCCAGTCTCTATTTAAAAACCTCCAATGGAAGTCCACCACCTTCCTAAAGTTTAGTCACAATCTCCATTCTTGTAATTTGAAGCCATTGGTTTGGGTCCTCCCCTCTGGAGCAGCAGAAACCAAGTTTGCTCCATCTTCCCTCTGCCAGCCTTTTAGATATTTGGAGATGACCATCATAGCATCTAATGGGACACGGGTGGCGCTGTGGGTAAAACCTCAGTGCCTAGGACTTGCCGATCGTATGGTCGGCGGTTCGAATCCCCGCGGCGGGGTGAGCTCCCGCCGTTCGGTCCCAGCTCCTGCCCACCTAGCAGTTCGAAAGCACCCCTAAGTGCAAGTAGATAAATAGGGACCGCTTAATAGCGGGAAGGTAACGGTGTTTCCGTGCGCTGCGCTGGTGCTGGCTCGCCAGAGCAGCTTCGTCACGCTGGCCACGTGACCCGGAAGTGTCTACGGACAGCGCTGGCTCCCGGCCTCTTAAGCGAGATGAGCACGCAACCCCAGAGTCGGTCACGACTGGCCCATACGGGCAGGGGTACCTTTACCTTTTATCATAGCACCTCTCAGTCTTTTCTTCTCCAGGCTAGACATACCTAAACATACACCTGTTTTGCATTTCCCATGCCTATTGTGTTAATACTCATTGAATAGAATGTAAAATATGATTTTGCAAGAGGCCCTTTGCCACCTTCCACCCGGCATTAAGAACATTCACTTGATTATGCAGAAAGAGCACAAGAGACTCACTGATAGTTTGAGCATCATGGGTAAAAATATTTGTAAAAGGTTTTTTAAAAAGCACCCTATAATATATTGCTACTATTTAATTAGATGTACAAACATAAGAAAAAGACCCGCCAATATAACCACAATCGGATTCTAAATATGTATCCTTAATGTACATAAGAAACCACTTTAGAACATACTTCTAAAAAACAAATTAATGCCACAAATGTGTATAGATTTACTGCGAAATAGATATTGAAATAGATATTGATTGGGACGCGGGTGGCGCTGTGGGTAAAACCTCAGCGCCTAGGGCTTGCCGATCGTATGGTCAGTGGTTCGAATCCCCGCGGTGGGGTGCGCTCCCATCGTTCGGTCCCAGCACCTGCCAACCTAGCAGTTCGAAAGCACCCCCGGGTGCAAGTAGATAAATAGGGACCGCTTACCAGCGGGAAGGTAAACGGCATTCCGTGTGCTGCTCTGGCTCGCCAGATGCAGCTTCGTCACGCTGGCCACGTGACCCGGAAGTGTCTGCGGACAGCGCTGGCTCCCGGCCTATAGAGTGAAATGAGCGCACAACCCTAGAGTCTGGCAAGACTGGCCCGTACGGGCAGGGGTACCTTTACCTTACCTTTTAGATATTGATTATTGCCTTTTGGAACACCTGTTTGCAAACTCTGTACATCTGGCTTTTCCTCTCCATTGTAAATTTTGTATAATTCATTCTTCTCTTGCATTTTTTTTTAAATAACGTGCTTAAACAGATTAGAATTTACCAGCTCTGTAACTTCGCAGTAGCTTAAAGTTAAAAGCATTGAATAAACAACTGTTCTCTGAGTATCACCCAAACCCAAGAAACCATTCACTAACTCTACCCATTGTTTATGTGTTTTTGTGTGACCCTGTCCATCCCTATTCCAGTCAGGTAATCTGACCCTCTGCCTGAAAATGGTCCGTCCCGTCCCCCCCCCCCCATAATCCTTTTACATATTTATTTCATTTAAGTTCATTTCTATGCTGCCTATCTTCATTATGGAACTGATGGCGTAGAGTCGACTGTAGCCCACAAACGGTAGTTCACCTCACATCACGCCCAGTCCCTGATACCCTAAGCCTGCCCACCAAAAACTGCCCCAAAGCTGCTGCCATTCTTTGATGTCTTTGTTAAGAAGACCCTCTTTCTCTCTTTTTCGGATGTTCCAGCAAGCCTGGCCTCAATTTGCCAAGCAGGCAAGACGTCTGTATTGCGTTATGCTGTTCTCAAAGTCAGAACGTAAGTGGGTTTGTTTTTTTGTCCTGAAAG